AGGATGTGAGCTTCTGCTGGTTCGTTGAATGCCTCGAACTTGATACTTGAACGTTTGGTTGAACATGTTACCCCATTTGCTGTATGGAAGTTGACGACTTTGTCATCGTATGTTGGGAGATCCATCCTACTTATTCGTGTAGATGAGATGAGATCATGACCACTTCCAGAATCCAATATGAATCTCTTATCTCTTTCCTCAACAGGAACAGTGATACACATTGTGTTGCCCCTCTTACCATATCGACCCTCGATATGCTGAACATAGTTCTCCACAAAGACTTCCCTGGACACCTCACCGTCCTCGACGTCGAGTCTGATCAGAATGTCCAGGCTGGGGCCGACGATGACCAGGACTTCATCAATGTCACTGTACTCACCCTTCTCATCGATCAGAATAGCCATTGCTTTCCCTCGGCTCGATGCTAATCTGCATGAATAAGACCATTGCTCATCTTGCCTTATCTGATCGGTGGGCTTACCAACCTTACCATGACCTTTGGAGATAGTTTGGGACTTCCGGCTGCACTTCACGAAGTCCTTCTTCACGTACGTTTGAACGTAAGTCTTAGACTCGTCGAATCTGACTTTCTTCTTGACGACATTCGATGCAACCTTGTGGAATGTTCCTTCGTCATCACTCCACTCATGGACAAGTGCAGGAGTAGCCTTTGGGCTTGGTGCTTCGGTGTTTGGAGCAGTGTTGAATAGATGAGGATCATGACGTTTGTTGCATTTGTCTCCGTACCGACACTTGCCCTTGGCCCAGTGCCAGCATGGCTCATCAATCTTCTTGGTCTTGTTCGCTGGAGATTGACTTCTTGGAGTTCCTGGCTTTCGACCATTACCTTTTGCGTTCTTGTTCGCATCAAACACCTTTTGGTCGTGGCTGTATTCACAATCTTTACCTTTTCTGCATGCTTTCTTGATGGAATGGAAATGGCATGGGATCTTCTTCTTGGATCTAGGACTAGCACTTCGACTGTTTGCTCGATCCTTTCCTTTCCCTTGACCTTTCCCTTTTCCTTTTGCATGCTGTTTCGGTTGAGGTGATGGTAGAACTGGAGCTGCATCGGCCTTAGCCTTCGCCTTAGGTGCTGCCTTCTCCTTGGGAGTGGCTTTAGGCTTCGCTTTCGGATTGGCATCTGGTGCAGCAGCAGTTGGGTTCGGGGCAGGAGCAGTAGGCTTGCCGCCGCCCGCAAAGTCTCTTGCATACTTCTCCCTAGCGGCCACATGCTTGTCCTCTCTAATTCTGCAGATGTGCCTTTCGATGACGTCCAACAGGTATCGATAGCTTCGTCTTTGATCTCCTTCAATCCATGACTCATACTGCTTGATGTCGAACATCATAAGACTCGAATTTCGAATCTTCTTGTATAGAGCATCACGAAGCCAATCATCAGGAGGTACATCATCCGGCATCATGTTTGATACCATCTCCATCCATTTCTCATAGAACACTTCCAGGTTAGAGTCACCGAGATATTTCATCGATACGATGTGCTCCATGGTGAATGCTGTCTCTCGTTGACCTGGAGTTCTGAAGTGTTCCAGGATCATAGCCAAGATTTCTCGTCCCATAACATAGGTTCCTCTTCGGCTATGACTCTGTGTTCTCAATCTCAGTTTGATTGCTACATGACGAGCAACATCGCCGGCTTGAGCTATCACGTTTGACAATGCAATTGACAACTTGGCGTCTATTGATTGATATCGTTGCCCTCCACTGTCATTCAATAGCTCAATGTCAGGATTTGGTCGAATAGCCGGCTGCAACCATGCTTCCCATGCAGCTTTGTCTCCATCATTCGCAGCAAGAACAACACTCTTGATGAGATCTGACTGCCAAACTCCAAGGTTCTGCTGCTTCGGCCATGGGCTAACGTAGACTTTGTCAGCCTCCCGTCTTGACATTCTCGGTACTTCTTCTGCCGTGTACGCCGCTGTGGAGATGTCATCTGCTGAATCACGTTGTGATCCTCGAACTGAAGGCAAACCAGGAGGTTCTGGAGGTGGTCCTGGACCGTTGGGCCCGAAAGGGTCAGGAGGTCCATCAGGGTCAGGCGGACCGCCCCATCCGCTCGGAGGCTTGTAATAGTCCTTCTCAGTTCCATCGGCGATCTTGTTGTCAACTTCCTTCAGCAGATCGGTGATTCTTTTGCTCAATTGAGAAGGTTGCTGTTGAGAAGGTCCAGCATGTCCACGATAGGAATTAGCCATATTCGTCTCATAGGTCAACTCCTTGTCGATCTGCGATACCCAAGATTTCAGGATAGCGTTCTCAGAGTTAGCCTCACTCACGTCATTCTCCAGTTTGTCAATGACCAGTCTTGATGCGAAATCATAGTTGGGGATGCCTGCCGAATAGGGAAGTGTATCAGGGCTGACCCTAGACATAGATGTTTCAGAATTCTTGAGACTCTTTCTCAGTTCATCTAAGTGACGTTTCATGTCAACAATCTCAGAATTCTTGATACCAATCTTTTCATCCCTATCCTGAATTTCCCCCATAAACATACATGATCTCTCATACTGTTGAACACCACTAGCCAATTTCATTTTGCGCTCACTTTCTAGTTCAGATCTTAAAGTTCGGACTTCAGCATTGGAGAAGGACGACGCCCCTACATCCGCAACTTCAGCCAATCTTTCTTTTAACAACATGTTCTCTTGTAAACATTCATGAACTTCATGATCCAGATCCTGAACCCTGATTTGAGCGATTTTGGCTTGATTACGTAGATCTTCAACAAGCATCTCATCGGGGCCACGACCGTCGGTCGTAATGCCCTGAGTCAACGATTTTCGCAACTTCACGTTCTGCAACTTGATCTCATCCTTCAACTCGCAGTTCATCTCCTGCTCGTTGGTGTAGAGCTCTTCATAGTGCTCTGCCCTTGCGATTGAATTTGCACTAGCCTGTGACTCAAGCCTCAGGTGTGATATCGCTTCAGCCTCATGGTTCCTGTATGATGCAATTCTTCTGACAGTATCATGTTCAGTATTTCGATGCTTCAGATCACTCTCCAATTTGGCCTGATTCGCCTCGAAAACCTTCTTTCTAGATTCTCTAGTGATCTCTTCGATACTGCTTTCATACAACTCGGCTTGTTTACGAGACTGAACTAGAGCTTCACTCAATAGCTGATTCCGTTCAGACAATTCATGAACCGTAATTGATTGTTGTTGGCTAATCACTTCAAGTTGATTGCTGGAGAAGGATGCCATTTCGGATCGATTACGATATTCCATGATTGAGTTCTGGAAATCCGTCTGCATTTCTTGACCTTCATTGTATAATCGATTGGCAATATCGGTGGTTAAGACATTGGTTTGATGAAGTTGTTGCAGTCTTGCCTCCGTATTACCCAATAGTCCTTGAAGGTGATGCACTTCATCCTTGTACTCTTCCTGGATCTCCATACCACGTTGATGGATCCGTCTTGCACCATGTTCCATTAGGGCACCTCGGCGTTCAAGGTCTTGGATGCGTATTGTTGCACCTTCGTCTTCCTGAGATGCTACCATTAATTCTGCTTGATATTCTGCAACCTCATTTGCGGAACATGACAATCTATGATTGAGTGCATTGACCTCATCAAATACATTCTGGTTGTGTTCCTGAAGATACTCAGTGAATCTGATCTCGATGTCATGAATCAGTTGATCTCTAGATGCAGCGTATGTTTCCATGTGGTTCAACTGATTGCGTAGGGATTGGCATTGTGCCCGTAGTTCTTCTATCATGGCAATAGGTTCACTAGCCACAGAAGTATCCGTTGATCTCCTCTTAGCACGACTATCCCCGGTCCTCTCACCAATTCGGTCGGTTACGGCCCTGGTGGATCTGTCCCTTGGAGTAGTTCGCCCTCGAGATGGTCGATGCCCTTGGCGGACGACATCACTTCGAGCACTGTTTCGAGAAGATCTTGGTGTACTTTGGGTGGATATTCTTCGTCTGTTTGATGTAACTTGCCATCCGGACTGTGTAGTTCGGGTAGAGCGTATCCCACCACTGTCTGCCGTGTCGCCAGGGGAAGATTGAGTGACCTCCTCGACCGGCATAGCAGTGTTCTCATTGAAGGTAAACTGCGTGGTGCGCGAATCTCCGCTGCCGCCTTGCATCTTTGCGATGATGAGCTAATTGGTCCTTTGCGTCCTCAATCAATTGCTCAGAAGGCCCGGCTACCAGCACGCAGGTACTCCTCTCCCGACGGGAGATGTGAGCCCTTACGGCTGATAACCTGTGAACAAATGGATCCTTGTCCTGGATATCGTTTCTATTGACAGTACCTGTTGTGCTGATTGTCGCCAAGCCCTCAAGACATTGCAGACGGCGCGCAGCTGTTTTCCTCTCAATGGGCGCTTGAGCCAATAAGGCGTCCCAATGTACAGTTACACATGCACATGATATATGTACTATCGTTTGGTTCCCTTTGACAGTATGTATATATATATATGTGTATATATATATATACACATATATATATATATATATACAAATATGATATGATATATCTACTATACTATATAAATAATCCACAATATTCTCCAACTGAGCAATGCTAAGCCTCTAAGCGACCTGCAGGCATCTACAACTGGAGATACGGTTTCATGTTGCCCGCGAAACCTTCGAAAAAAAATGCATGGTTTGTTGAACTGGGTTGATAGGTTCAAAAATTACAGGAAACCCATGGAAATCCACTATGAAAATAAATCATTTCCGCATTCAAATGGCCATGTGAAAATTGGGACTTGATCCATGTTTGGACAAACCCAAGGTCTATATCAAACTCCAACCACTGCCACTGGCACCAGCATAGTTGCCCGGAAAAACCTGTCTGCCCTGCAGGCCAGTAGCATTGTTCCGGCCCATAAACCTCCAGTTTCAGTGATGGAAATGGTGGTCAAGTTGGTACCTACAACATTGGATGCCTACCACAAGATTCCAGATTAGTTACTAAGATGGTTTTATATGGTTTTATGGGGGGTGTAAATGTCCTAATCTTTCACATCACCCAAGCCATAGGACTGTTGGTCGTCCTGGCAGGGAATCTGTGACCGATCAGTCGAGTCCCAGTGTACTGACCCATTCCCTATAGGCGGTAGGGTCAGGGCCCGGGACCATGCCATTTGTCCAAAAAATGGAGATTTAACCACTATTTTTATAGTGATTTAATGGTTAACAATGGTAAATAATGGGATGATATGGGGATTTACCCTCTGGTAAACATACAAAAAGCTATTGAAAATGGCCCAGTCGAAATAGTGGATTTAGCCATTAATAGCATAGTGATTTTCCATAGCTATGTAAACGTTTACCAGAGGGTAGCAAACCACTGGTCACTCTTGCAACACTCCACCATACAAACTCAAAGGAAATTAACCCTCAGAACTCGAAGTTGTGTATCCTTTGAAGCTACCATGATCAGAACTCGCAGGCTTTTCCAAATCCGCAAAGGATGATGACCTTGGGATTCACACTGAGTTACTAGATTACTAGATTCCCGTGAAGCATGGCTAGACCCTCAGTTTCTTGTCATAAATACCAAACAAGTGTATTCCCAAAAACGTTCAAATGGAGGTTTCCTAAAATGGGGGTACCCCCAAATCATCCATGTTTATAGGATTTTTCCATTATAAACCATCCATTTTGGGGTACCCCCCCATTTAGGAAACCTCCAAATCAATCCCTCATCTTTAGCCAAAAATGATCCACGAGCATATGAGCTAATCAAAACATTCACCGAGGTTCGCTCAGTTGTGTTGATGAAATTTCCTAGTGTATTGCATAGGTCTCGTTCACCAAAACCCAGTGCTGCTCGCTTGGATACTAACCGCACAAAACATGTGCTTGGGGGTATGATATCAGATGTAAAGATAGATCAATAAGATTAGACTGGATAAGATTTCGGTTTAGATTTACATTCGATTAGATAGATAAATACATCTACGAAAGTGATACATTAAGTTACGTGTTTTACATGTGTACACTACTCTACATACATGTATAAATATATATGTATATGCTGTACGTTACTATCAAGTTGTAAACAAATCAATTTTGAAACAGCCAAAACCCAAAACAAAGCTGCCCCAACCAGGCAACATAGCAGTTTTTCAGGAACCAAATGTTTGGTGTTGATTTCCAGTGTCATGATTCTTCACCACTGAAAAAAACCTGCGACACCTCATGCGTCACCAGTTGGGTTATGGTACCTCCAAGTCCCATGGGTAATCAGTGGTTTTTTGCCTTTGAAAAGACACAACCATGTCCATTGTTCATTGGCTGAGACCCTAGGAATGTTCAATTCCCTTTTTTTGCCTGGTGACATCATTTGAAATCATCTGGTGAAATCCCTATCGCTTCTGGTGAAATCCCTCATGGTTATGACTAACAGTTCGCCATGGAAGCCATGGCCCATAGAAATAGATGATTTTCCCAGCTATAAACCTTCATTTTATAAGGGATTTTCCATGGCTATGTTAAATAACCAGATGGTATATTCCCATTATTTTCTCATTCTATTGCTGGTTGTATTCCCATGATATATTATCTCCATTATATATTGGTCAACCGCCCCCAAAAAATTGGCGTCACGTCCAAGCTGCGAGTCGAAGCCCGTCTGCACGGCTGCCGGCATGGCACCTGCGATCTGCCGAAATATCATGGGAATTTCAGGATCCTGAAATGGAGGTACCTACCATATATAAGGCCTATAGGGTATGTAAGGGGATATCCGCCCAACATATGGCCTTATATGGTACAGTACCTCCATTTTAGGATCCTGGAATTCCCATTGATAGAATGAGAAAATAATGGGAATATACCATCTGGTTATGACTAACATAGCCATGGAAAATCACCATTTTTAATAGGTAAACCATCTATTTCTATGGGCCATGGCTTCCACGGCTATGTGAAATAACCAGAGGGTACCCTCTGGTGATTCAACAGTTTGCAAACTGGAAGCCATGGCCCAGTTGTAGATGATCTTTGATGATTTGCCGAACTATAAAATGGTGATTTTCCACTTCGCTATGTTCAATAACCAATTCGGAATACCAAAGGATCATGGGAATATAACCAGCAATAGGGGGAATGCTGGTGCTTAAAGAGAGATGGGATTATTGCCACGGTAGCACTCTCTATCCATTCACGACAGCCTCGGTAAATTCGCATAGATATGGATATCTGATATATCCATGGGTTTCCCTCGAAAAATCCATCTGCGAACCTGAATTCAGGTCATGTTTGCATGATTCAACATGATTCAACCAACGAAAAAAACGTGAGGGCTTTTTTCAGCCCACCCAAAAAATGGTGGGTTTCACATGGTTGAAAATAAAAAGAATGATTTAACCAGCAACAAATATCAATTTTTTCTGGTGATAGAAAGAATCAAAGCATGTTAAAGACATCAAATAATGATGATTAAACCAATACAAATAATTAAAGCATATTCAAGAAACTAGAAACAGGATTTAATCAACAAATAATATGGGATCAAAAATTCAAAATTAAGTTTCAACTAACAAACATATTTTAAAAAAATACCAAACCAAATCAATGGTGTTCCAACCCACAAAAACAGTTGGGAGCAGCTGGATTTCAGCATTTATCGGCCTATCAGGGCTTAAAAAAATCCTGGGTCAACCCACCCAAAGCTTCCTCGGTTTCCCTCTACTCCTGGTTCGAGGAATTGTCTTCACAATCACCTAGCAATCCAACTTTTTTCAGATGATTGGTCCATTATCATTTCACCCTAATATAAGCCTCGAGGAATAGGCATTTCCCGTCGCCATGGACTTCTCAACCACTGAAAATTGTTCAAAATTCAGGGATGAGAAACAGGTCTGAAGCACTTACCGCACTGTTCTCTCCTGTTCTGGGAATACCTAATACACAAGCGTTCGGAAATTCCAAGTCTTCAAAACAGTCGTCCAATCGTCCAAGCTGGTGCTTTCAACCCCCTGATATGCTTGGTAGTTGGGATCCTCCTTCCATTTCGAAGGTTGACAATTAAGAACATCTTTGAAACCAGCGGATCATCATTCTCTATATACCCACTACCCTCTGGTAAACGTTTACATAACTATGGAAAATCACCATTTTGAATGGGTAAATCAACTATTTCTATGGCCATTTTCAATAGCTATGTTAGTTTACCAGAGGGTACATTCTGATCTCAGGATCTCCTCATTTTGCTTTGATAAATCCCCATTGGTTTCTACCAGATGTCCGCTCCACAACGACATCCCGATGCCTAAGAAGAGCAGCAAGAGGGTGAGCACCAAACCCACCACCAGCAGTAGCACTGGCACCTCAGCTGCCAGCTGGGTCATGGTCGGGTGCACCGCCCAAGTTTGGGTTGTAGAGGAAATATCACAGGAACTCCATTGAAGCTTACAGAGCTAGCAAACATATAGTGACTTCTATGTAAGCTCGAAAATCAGTGAGTCTTCATCCTTCTACGCATTCTATCAGCCATCCCTGAAGTGGTGGTCTGTCTCCAGTTGTGTGGGGGACGGAGTTACCCTCTGCTAATCAAACATTGCAATGGAAAATCCACCCTGTATATATGTCCCATCAAAACCTCCACTTATAGAGTTCTTTCCCATGACATTCCCATCTTTTCCAATGACATTCCCATCATAACTACCATCTCACGTCTAATTACTGGCGCGCATCAAAGTGCGGTTTCGAAGTTCGACCATCCCAAAGGTGAAGCGGCTCCCACCCGAGCGAAACACCAAGACTCCATGAGCATCAATTTCCCTGACGACGAGATTCCGTTTTTTTGTGGAAAAAAAACATGAATTTTTGCAGCGATCTGCATAGATACCAATTGACATTGTATGATAAATGTGAACTGATACATGTATATATAATCAAATATGTGTATATATAAATATATATGTTCATATACATATATATACATATACATATATATACATATTATATATATTACATATATATATATGTTACATATATATATATATTACATATATATAATATATATATATAGAGGGAGAGAATTACATGTACATACAGCCGAGGGGAAAAAAAACAAAGCACTGGCTGGAAATCCCCAGTCCGAACATGTTTCGCCCCAAAATGCCCAACACCTTTGCGGGACAAACGTGTCACAAAAACCAGGGAACACATACATATCTCATGTATAATAGTATACATACATATGTACATATCAAACATTACTAAACATCTGTGTATAAATGCATATGTAATTACCATTGATTACCTGTATCTATATATATCCCCCAAGTTTGTTTGGCCTTTTGATTGCTGGTTCACCTTGGAATTCCCAATTTTATCACCAAAGCGGAGCCTCTGTCTGTGGCCTGCTCATCCACGATGGATCTCGCCTTGTCCTACGGCGATGCGATGGAGTGCTTTAATGTGAATTCATGCGATTTAATGGAAATGTAATGAGGGTTTGGGGGAAATTAAGTGGGTTTGGTGGGATTAAGATGATTTAGAGGTGATTTCATGAGATTTACTGAAATTCAAACGAAGATTTTATTGTAAATGAGGCGCCCCAGCAATATTTGTTGGTTTATACACCCCATGAATATTATAGCAGTTGTATCACTCATAAACCCAAACGTTAAACAAGTTATGTGCGGCAACTTAGTCATCGTTTGGGGGTCTCGCCTTGTACACTCGGGGCTTGGGGGTGCAGGCCAGGGGTGATTTTTATGGGTATAACCATGGGGGTTACCTCCATAAGTTGGGATATGAACCCCACCAAAAAAATATTATTTATGATTTATGAGGATGAATATCGATTTTGCCCCAAACAGTGTGTCCACACTGAGGGGTTTTTACGGTAGGTGTAAGGGCCGGTGCTTGATCAGGGTGCTCACTCTGGGGCGCATCATTTTTCCTGTAAATTTCTGTATAAAGCGGCTCTTGTGAAAAGTTGAAGTCATTTCGACTGCGCAGGTTTGCACAAAGTCTGAGCCGCGGTTTTGAGGCGCAGCATTTTTCCTATAAATTTCCGTATAAAATGGCTCTTCTGAAATGTTCGTTGACTTGCATTTCGATCGCGCAGGCTCGCACAAAGTGTATGTGTCTGCGTTCTGGGCTCAATCCGGGGCGCGGCATTTTTCCTGTAAATTTCCATATCAAGTAGCTCTTGTGAAATGTTTACTTGCATTTCGACTGCGCAGGCTGGCACAAAGTCTGCGCCGGGGTGGTGGAAGCACAGCATTTTTCCTGTAAATTTCTGTATGGAGTGGCTCTTGTAAGATGTTGAAATCGCCGCGGTGGTGGGGGCGCAGCATTTTTCCTGTAAATTTCCGTACAAAGCGGCTCTTGTGACATATTGATGTGCATTTCGACTCCGGAGACTCGCACTGCGTTCTGGGCTCAATCCGGGGCGCGGCATTTTTCGTGTAAATTTCTCTAAAAAGTGGCTCTTTTTAAATGTTGAAATGCATTTCGACTGCACAGGCTCGTAAAAAGTCTGCGCCGCGGTGGTGGGGGTGCAGCATTTTTCCTGTAAATTTCCGTACAAAGCGGCTCTTGTGACATATTGGTGCGCATTTCGGTTCCGGAGACTCGCACAAAGTGTGTGTCTGCGTTCTGGGCTCAATCAGGGGCACGGCATTTTTCTGGCAAATTTCTGTATAATGTGAAATGTTGACTTGCATTTCGACTGCGCAGGCTCGTACAAGGCCTGCGCCGCGGTTTTGGGGCGCAGCATTTTTCCTGTAAATTTCCGTATGATGTGGCTCTTGTGAAATGCTACCTTGCATTTCGACTCCGTGGGCTCGCACAAAGTGTGTGTCTGCGTTCTGGGCTCAATCCGGGGCACGGCATTTTTCTTGTAAGTTTCCATATCAAGTGGCTCTTGTGAAATGTTGACTTGCATTTCGACTGCGCAGGCTGGTACAAGGCCTGCGCTGCGGTTTTGGGGCGCAGCATTTTTCCTGTAAATTTCCGTATGATGTGGCTCTTGTGAAATGCTACCTTGCATTTCGACTCCGTGGGCTCGCACAAAGTGTGTGTCTGCATTCTGGGCTCAATCCGGGGCACGGCATTTGTCTTGTAAGTTTCCATATCAAGTGGCTCTTGTGAAATGTTGACTTGCATGGCGCCTTACAGAGATCTTGCCAAGAGACCTCTTATAGAGATCTTGTTCAGGGATATTACCAGGGCACCTTTTCTTGTGGAGACCTTGTACAGAGACATTGCATAGAGATCCTGTTGCAAAGATCTTGCCATGAGGCCCTTTACAGATCTTACAGGGATGTTGCCAACAGAGCTCCTATAGAGATCCTGCACAGGGATCTTAAAAAAAGATATTGCCAAGAGATCTCTTTTGGGGATCTTGTCCAGGAGGTCTTGCCAAGACACCTCTTCTAGAGATCTTTACAGAGATCTTGACCTAAGGTCTCTTACAGAGATCTTGCCAACAGAGGTCTTACAGAGATCTTGTACAGAGGTGTCATAAAGAGAACTGGTACAGACACATTGCATAGAGTTCTGTTGAGATTTTGCCAGGAGGCCCCTTGCAGAGATCTTGCCAAGAGACCTCTTTTAGAGATCTTGCACAGGGATCTTGCCAGGACACCTCTTATGGAGACCTTGCACAGAGACATTGCATAGAGATCCTGTTGCAGAGATCTTGCCAAGAGGTCTCTTACATAATTCTTGCCAAAAGAGCTTTTTTAGAAAGCTTGCACAGAGATCCCATAAAGAGATCGTGCCAAGAGATCTCTTTGAGAGATCTTCTCCAGGAGGTCTTGCCAAGACAACTCTTCTGGAGATCTGTACAGAGATCTTGCCATGACATGAGGTCTCTTACAAAGATCTTGCCAACAGAGCTCTTATAGAGATCCTGTACAGAAGTTTCATAAAGAGATCTTGTACAGAGACATTGCATAGAGATCTGCTGGGATCTTGCCAAAAGGCCCCTTACAGAGATCTTGCCAAGAGACCTCTTTTAGAGATCTTGCACAGGGATCTTGCCAGGACACCTCTTATGGAGACCTTGCACAGAGACATTGCATGGGGATCCTGTTGCAGGGATCTTGGTCTGCTACATAATCTTGCCAAGAGAGCTTTTTTAGAAAGCTTGCACAGAGATCTCATAAAGAGATCTTGTCCAGGAGGTCTTGCCAAGACACCTCTTCTGGAGATCTGTGCAGAGATCTTGCCATGAGGTCTCTTACAGAGATCTTGCCAACAGAGCTCTTATAGAGATCTTGTACAGAGATCTTGCCAGGAGACCTCTTTTGGAGATCTTGTACAGAGACCTGGTGAAGAGAGCAGAGGTCTTGTTTGGAGATATTTCTGGATAGCTTGAACAAAGGTCTTACTCTTTGAGGTCCTTACAAAGATATTCTGTGGAGATCTCCTATAGGCACCTTGTGCAGGTAGCCTTACACAGGTATCTTGCACAGCAGCTTGCACAGAGAACCTGTCAAGGAGATCTTGCGCACGATCTTCTACAGAGATCTTCACAGAGGGAACTTGCAGAATCTTACCTGGCATCTCTTCTTTTCACTGCTAGGGCCGCTCTTGTCCTGCTTGCTTGCAGCCACTGATGCTTTTAGGTCCTTTCCGCCTTTCCTCCACCTTTTCATCTTCAACTTCATCTTCCGCATTATCATCCTCCTCCTCCTCATCCTCCTTAACATCATCAGCCTCCACATCATCATCCTCTACCTCCTCTTCCGCAACATCATCCTCCTCCACCTCATCTTCCGCAAGGTTATCATCATCAACATCATCCTTCGCAACATTTTCCTCCTCATCCTCATCCTCATCCTCATCATCATCATCATCATCATCATCATCATCGTCATCATCCTCATGATCATCATCATCATCATCATCATCATAATCATCCTCATCATCGTCATCATCATCATCCACATTGTCATACATTATCCTCCCACTCCCCCACACTGTTTGGGGTCTCTTGCCGGGATAATTTTAGGTATGTCCTAAAGATTTTCTGGGGATAAGGTGGTTTATAACCACCACTAAGTGTGTGTATATATAATAGTATATAAGCTATATCTATATAGTTTAAACTTAAAACCTTTAAACCCAAGTGAAATTGGAGTTATGTTCACCAACTTAGAGATGAATCGCTCACTGGAACACCACCTTTGACATGTTCATTCTCCCAACTGACCATCTCAGAATTCCCAACAGTATCCCCATAATATGTCCCATGGTTTCACATCAATTCCAATATTATCCCATGAATTCCCAATATTATCCCATGAATATCTCATAATATTATTATCACATATCTAATTTTCATTAATTGTCATTAGTTTTCACTAATGCTCATTGATTTTCATTAATTTCATTAAATGTTCATTTTGTTTTGTTCCATCCAATTCCATATTCTGCCCAGGAGTTCCCATTCTATCCAACATTCACTGACTGAAGGCCAAACAAAAAAGCTTCGTGTCGTCTCCAACCAACGGGGATCGTCTGCCTCAATTGGGAAACGCAAGCCTCTTTTGCCTGTTGAGGGACGTGTCAAACAAACTAAAGGCAACCAGCAGAACTGACAAGGACATACAAATCGCCACTAGGAGCACCAAAGCTTTGAAGACTCGATGGCAAGGTCACCCGCTCCAGGCTTTGGTTGAAATTCTTGCCAAAACTCAAGCTTTGAAGACTCGATGGCAAGGTCACCCGCTCCAGGCTTTGGTTGAACCTAGTTCCAAAACTCAAGCTTTGAAGACTCGATGGCAAGGTCACCCGCTCCAGGCTTTGGTTGAACCAGTAGCCAAAACTCAAGCTTTGAAGACTCGATGGCAAGGTCACCCGCTCCAGGCTTTGGTTGAAAGTTTCGCCAAAACTCAAGCTTAGAAGACTCGATGGCAAGGTCACCCGCTCCAGGCTTTGGTTGAAAGTTTCGCCAAAACTCAAGCTTTGAAGACTCGATGGCAAGGTCACCCGCTCCATGCTTTGGTCGAACCAGAAGCCAAAACTCAAGCTTTGAAGACTCGATGGCAAGGTCACCCGCTCCAGGCTTTGGTTGAAATTCTCGCCAAACCTTAAGCTTAGAAGACTCGATGGCAAGGTCACCCGCTCCAGGCTTTGGTTGAACCTAGCGCCAAAACTCAAGCTTTGAAGACTCGATGGCAAGGTCACCCGCTCCAGGCTTTGGTTGAAATTCTGGCCAAAACTCAAGCTTAGAAGACTCGATGGCAAGGTCACCCGCTCCAGGCTTTGGTTGAACCTACTTCCAAAACTCAAGCTTTGAAGACTCGATGGCAAGGTCACCCGCTCCATGCTTTGGTTGAAACAGTAGCCAAAACTCAAGCTTTGAAGACTCGATGGCAAGGTCACCCGCTCCAGGCTTTGGCTGAAAAGCCAGCCAAAACTCAAGCTTTTAAGACTCGATGGCAAGGTCACCCGCTCCAGGCTTTGGTTGAACCTTTTTCCAAGACTCAAGCTTAGAAGACTCGATCCAAAACTCAAGCTTTGAAGACTCGATGGCAAGGTCACCCGGTCCAGGCTTTGGCTGAAACGCCAGCCAAAACTCAAGCTTTGAAGACTCGATGGCAAGGTCACCCGCTCCAGGCTTTGGTTGAAAGTTTCGCCAAAACTCAAGCTTTGAAGACTCGATGGCAAGGTCACCCGCTCCAGGCTTTGGTTGAAAGTTTCGCCAAAACTCAAGCTTAGAAGACTCGATGGCAAGGTCACCCGCTCCATGCTTTGGTCGAACCAGTAGCCAAAACTCAAGCTTTGAAGACTCGATGGCAAGGTTACCCGCTCCAGGCTTTGGTTGAACCACTCGCCAAAAGTCAAGCTTAGAAGACTCGATGGCAAGGTCACCCGCTCCATGCTTTGGTCGAACCAGAAGCCAAAACTCAAGCTTTGAAGACTCGATGGCAAGGTCACCCGCTCCAGGCTTTGGTTGAAAGTTTCGCCAAAAGTCAAGCTTTGAAGACTCGATGGCAAGGTTACCCGCTCCAGGCTTTGGTTGAACCACTCGCCAAAAGTCAAGCTTAGAAGACTCGATGGCAAGGTCACCCGCTCCAGGCTTTGGTTGAACCTAGTTCCAAAACTCAAGCTTTGAAGACTCGATGGCAAGGTCACCCGCTCCAGGCTTTGGTCGAACCAGTCGCCAAAACTCAAGCTTTGAAGACTCGATGGCAAGGTCACCCGCTCCAGGCTTTGGTTGAAGTACTCGCCAAAACTCAAGCTTTGAAGACTCGATGGCAAGGGCACCCGCTCCAGGCTTTGGTTGAACCTAGCGCCAAAAGTCATGCTTGCAAGGCTGCAGGGGAGATGGTGTAAATATTCTCCATGCGTTGCTCCTTCAAGATGTGTAACACCTTCTAGTGCAAACTCTCTGTCACAATTTGGGAGCTCACAGGAATAACGCCATGCTGTATACACATCAGCTGGTATGTAAGTGCAGGACAGCATTGCGTTTTTTCCAACAATCCCTTGGTCTTCCAAGTTCTCATCCAGTGTCAGTTTTCTATTCACACTATGCACAACGAGCTTTGCGCCTGCCTTGCATGAAAGATTCTTTGACACCAACCTGCGCAGGTCATACCCAAGCATGGAGCGACTGACGGTCAGTGTCACTCCTTCCCCAGTCAAGCACAGCACCTGAAGCTCGATCTTCTCAGTTTCATCTACTGCAGCTTTGTCAGCAGATCGTGGGTCCAAGTAGCCATATTGCGCACCGGACATTGGTCGAAATTTACACACGCACCACGAAAAGAGTGTAGCCGAAAGGTCTTCAACACTGATGAAATCTATGGCCTGTCTTAGTCCTGTACTGTAAAGGTTGCCGCCTGTGTAGAATGGGGTACCCCAAAATCCCGGAAAATTCCCCACTGATTTCCCCATGCACCTGAATTGTATAGGACATGTTTGTCAGATATGGGAAAACCTACCATTGGTTGGTAATATACTGTTAATATATGGTTAATACTAAAGGTTATTATTTATTGTATGGTTAATGATGGTTAATAATGGGAGATCTCCAGGATCCAATTGATGGAGGTACGTTAGTACCATATTTCTGGCCATATTTTGTGGTGATATTCCCTGAAATTGAGGCCTGAAAATAGGCCTTATATATGGTAGGTACCTCCATTTTGGGATCCTGAAATTCCTATTGATGGCAAAACTTGAGATGGTTCACCCCAGTTAGTACAAGTACCCTCCAGCAAATTGGCAAAACGAGATGTAAAATCCAGCTTTCATCAATAGGGAAAATGACCAATGTGATCAAAATCCAACAAGAAGTGGGTTTATCTGAAAATATTGTATGTTCCTCCTTAATCGTTTAGAACATGATTCACCCCATTGTTGGATATTGATCACAATGCTATTTGGATTTATCTGTACCCCAAAAAATCCTTGGTTTCGAAAGGGATTTTCCTTATTAAGATGGCCATTTTAGTGGAATGCCAGTCAGTAAATTGACAAAACACAACGGAAAAATCACCTGTAAAAACGAGCATTTCCAAACGTAAAACTCATCATCCCATATGGCCCATAACATGGGATGAACCAGCGACTGACTGCCATCCACGGTATTTTTTTAGATGTCTTTGGGTAGTATCCCAATGTACCCGGCCTGGTAAACAGCCACATAACGAACTGGAAAAGCACAATTTTCTAAAAATTAGTAAATCAACTATTTCGACTGGGCCATTTTCAATAGCTAACTTTGTCGGGAGAAAAAAAAAACGTTTTCCAATTGCTTAGATGTTTCACTGGTTGGTGGTTTTTCGCCACCCCTCTGAAAAAAAATGAGTTCGTCAGTTGGGTGATTTGTTTATTCCCAATATATGGGGAAATAAAAGCCACGTTCCAAACCACCAACCAGTGTTTCAAGGATGCCCCAAACAAACAACCAACCAGTCTCTTGTGACACCCGTCACGCCGTCCATTCCGGTCCTCTGCTTTCTTGGGTGACAGTGATCTCTCCACCTTGCACAAAGCTATGCTATGGAAAAAGATCCACTTATAGATGATTCACCTCGTACAAAATGGTGTTCCATAAACGACGAACTGCAATGGAATATTGGAATATTGATGATTGGAATATTGGAATAATTGGAATGGAATCCATTTTTACTCCAATCTATTGGAATAGTTTTCCAAGAAATGACTTGATGATTTTTCTGGCAAACTACCATTGCAATAATTCCTAAATACTCATAAATCGTCATTTTTGGGATTATCGTCCCTACTAAGCATCATCGTCCCTACTAAGCATCATTGATGGTGAGATCAGTGTCAGCTTGCTACAGTATTTTTTGGGGGCGCACACGTTCCAAATGTCCAAATACTTCAGCAAACAGCAAAGAAATGTCGATCAAAGCTGCGAGATATGCACTGTCTTCTAAATTGAAATATGGATGAATATGGATAAATACCATCTGGTTATGACTCACATAGCCATGGAGAATGCTCCGTAGAAATAGATGGTTGACACCTCTTAATAGCATGGTGATTGTCTATAGCTACGTTAAATCACCAGCTAAATATAGCAAAAATGGTGCTGGTCAGGCCGGGGAAGCGTTGAGCCGTGGTAAATCATCCATCAGTGGTTTCTATATCACTTAACAATGGCAAATAAAGTGATTGATATATCAGTTAATAATCATCCATCACCAATGTATATATATATATATTTGATATATATATATATATATATGATATATATATATATAATGGATTAGAACTATAACCATGGTTGGTAGTTATCCATTGTTATTAATGATAATTGACAATGTCAACTGTATATTATAACCATAACTATTGATGGATGTTTTACCATTGTAACCTTAGATTATGACCATTGTTATTGACCATGCACAACCATTGGTTGATATGCTCAATTTTTCAGATGGTTACTCTACCCTCCATGTCTAGCAAACAGGGATTGCCCAGCAGCTTGCCGCAACATATGAGGACGTTATAACGGTTTAGCTGGTTCGGTTGGGAGAAATCTACCCAGTGATATATGATCTGTAGTTATGGCCTTCCCACAGCTTTCAACAGCATCAACCTGCTGGTCCACGTCCTATCTGGACCAGCGTAACCAGCATTTTAGACCCTTGTGGTCGGGTGTGCATCCCCGATTTGGTTGTTTCAAATTCCTATTTCATCATACGAGTACTGTTGATTTATATATCCCTATTCCATCCCCTTTAGATTAAACATCCCCATGGCCTATGGTCCAATTGTTTGTGGTTTCATCCAGTTTCATCCAGTTTCATCCTCTCCACCAGGGTTTCTGGGCGGTGTTTCAGATTTTGTTAAAAATGGGGATGGCATTCTATTCCCATATCCATGTATATATGTATATATATTATGTATATATGTATATATGTCATATATCCATTTATATCCCGGTCCCTGTTATATCTCCATTATACCTCCATTAATTGTCCGAATGTGGGAAACCCAATGACAAATCATCCCCAAGTCGTCACCCCATGTTATGGGGATTCATTACCATCCCCAAAGGGGATATCTCCAATATATCTCCATTCACTATAATTTATAATTATACCTATTACCATTAGCACTACCTATTACTATACTATACTATACTGTACTGTACTGTACTATACTATACTGTACTGTACTATACTATACTGTACTATACTATACTGTACTATACTATATTATACTATACTATACTGTACTGTACTATACTATACTATACTATACTGTACTATACTATACTATAGTACCTGCCAATTCTGTCCGAAAAATCCTCCTTCACCACGGCCCCAAGTCGACACCGGCACCTTGTTCTCGCCCAGTTCCACGTCCTTCCCTGACTTCTCAGAGTCCACACTGGGATTCGGTAGCACCTGGTGGAAACAGCACTGGTTGGCTGGTTTCGTGATGTTTCACACTGGTTAGTACTGGTTAGTACTGGTTGATACTGCTTGATGATGGTGAATGGATGGTGAATGGATGGTGAGTGGATGGTGAATGGATGGCTGATGATGGTTCATAATTGCTTAGAACGATTGATTTTTCGTAAATTCCAAGCGGTTGGCTCGTTCACACATCTGGCTGGGTGGCTGACGGATCAAGATGGAGGAAATCTGTGTTTCAGAAAATCTCTTCGTGGTGGATTGTCCAGATTTAATGTTTGATTACCCTCTGGTTATTCAACATAGCCATGGAAGCCATGGCCCATTTATAGATGGTTTACCTATTGAAAATGGTGATTTTCCATGGCTATGTTAAATAACCAGATGGTACCAGATTGTATGTCTGAGCAAAATATGTGAAATGATTCAATCATCCGCAAAAATTATGGCAATTCACGAAGCTTATACAAAAGTTCGGCCACTTTGGGATAGTTACCCCTACCATAAATCATCATTCCGGCTCTCCGTTCTTGATTTTCCTTACTTGGCACGGCATCTGTTCGAGTAAGCTGACATTCGAAAGACTTTTTTTCTGAAGATCAAACAATTCTACTTGAGGTGTTCACCCCAGTTATAACTGGACAAATCCTACTTGCCCTACAAAAAAAACGCGTACCGCAGGCTGGGATGAGCCAGGTGGATATTCCCGAGCGAAGACGCGAAGACGTCAAGGGTGGAGACCCACCGGTCATCAATTCAAACTATAAGGTAAATGATAGACACTTTTTTGGGGACATTGGCGAGTTTACTATTTCTTTGCTCAATTGATTTTTTTCCCCGCAAGAATTTCGAATCTTCGATTCGGTGAAATCCCCTGTGTGTTGTGACTGGTGTGCACAGTTTTGCACGTCCAATTCCCGTATACCATGCAATGTACAAAGGTTAATATATATATATATAGCATTATACATAGTTATATATATATAGTGTACAAATTTAAAACATAGTACAAACACATTGACATGTTTCTTTGTTGTTCATCCTTGTACAGCGGTAGTTCATTCCACCAGTTGTAGGTCAGAGTCATAGCCTCAACTGCTTGATAATTTCAACTACATACCCTCCGGTAAACTAACATGGAAGCCCACAGATGAAGATACAGATGATTTACCATGATTTAAAATATTAAAACTGTGGTTTTCCCATAGCTATCTTAAACACTGTACGTATATATTGTTAAATGACCAAGTCGCGTATGTCAAATTATGGCAATCAATCACTGTGGCGCCCACCCGTTTCAAAAACCATCACCAATTCACTCTAAATCATCAACCCTGTAGGGGAATTGGGTAAACAATGTAAACTCACCAATTTCCCTATTTCCCCAAAAAAAGTGGCTATCATTTTGCCTCTAGTAGCTTGGAGAACCCTGATTTCTGTGAAATCCACCAGAATCTCAATCGTGGTAGCTATAAATCCATATAAATCCTATACTGTGAATCCTTGTTTTGGTTGGTTAATCCATGTTCATCCCATCTGGAGGTTTCCTAAGTCATGGGGCTGCCCCCAATCATCCAAGTCATGACCATGACTTGGTATTGAAACCCACGGTGACTTGGGGATCCACCATGACTTAAGAAACCACCATATAGTAATCAACAAACAGGGTTATGAACACTATATCCCATTCCATTCCATGAAAAATCAGCATGAAATCCTATGATATCACCATTAAATCACCATTTAATCCCATCAAATCACCAGTAAATCATATTGAAACCCATTAAACCTTGACATCTGCTGTAGTGAATCCCATCTCAAAATCTACGTGTTTCCATGCACCTCCGCCATCGGCTCCGTTCGGTCCGATGGTGCACCCGACGGTGCCCCAGTGCCCGCCGGCACGGGCGGCGCCAGGGTCGCGGGCGCGGCGGGGCGCGGGCGCAGGCGCCGCGGGCGCGGGGGTGCAGCGGGGGGGTCCGCGGGGGGTGGCGGCAGGGCCTGAACCGGGAGCGCCAGAGTTGGTGAAGTTAGTTGATTTCACTAATATAACTAGAGTTTTGTGGTACATCTATAGTTAGAATAGTTAAAAAGTGGTTAATCATAAACCAACAACCATCACCGGGGGAGCACCACCTTGTATTGTTTATTAGCTACGATTCCTGGGTCCCTCACTCCCAAGCCCAGTCAGGGGCCAAAGTCAGTTCAGCCGGAAAACGGCACTGCAGGGGCTTGGTAACTTTGGGTGAAAATATGCGAAAATCATCGAAAATCTTTACCCTCCGGTAATTTAACATAGCTATTGAAAATGGTCATTTATAGTGAGTTTTCCCATTAAAAATTGTGATTTTCCATAGTTATGTTAGTTTACCAGAGGGTACTTCTCCACTGAATATGGCGGTTTATATGGTTTATCTTATGTAAAAGTTGGGTAACGTCGCTTTTGAACACCTTTTTCCGGTGCAGATGTCGGTTTGCAGGAGCAACCCCATGGCATTTTCGGGGACCCACTTCCGACCCGTTATGGAAATCCATGGACCTTCATATTCGTCACTCCTCCTGCCGACAATCGGATACCAGATCTATCCAGATCTCCTATCTTTGGCTTTGAGGGGTTTGTCTCAAAAAATGAGGATTCCCATAAAATCCCATAAAATCTCAATTTCAAAAATGATGATTAACCAGTGGAACCAATTCTGGGAAAAGTCAATGGGGTATTCCCAATGGCAATTTCATGTCGATTCCCCGGTGGATTGAGGTTATCCTTTCCTCACACCCTTCCGGCCTCGTACTGAGGCTCTTCAACCTACGTGGCCACGCTGAGACGTTGCCACCCGAAGAATCGTTGAAAAGCTGGAGTTACTTCGTGACATCAACCCACGCAAATTATAGTAACCCCCACCAAAAAATGGTTCCAAGATGTTAGTTCGATGATTCGTGTCCCCCTAAAATGTGCACGTGTCCGTAACTTTCTATGGCCAGGGGTATGAAAACATTCCAGACCACCAGGGCGACCAAAGTCAGAGTGCTGAAGAAGCCTAAACAAGGTGAGGTCCCCGGTGTTTCGCTAAGTTCACACGCACATAACTTAAGGTTAACCTTTGGGCTGGGGTTTGGGGGATATAACTTAAGATATAACATGATATGAAAAATGGATTTGTGAAGCAACAACTTCCGGGGGCGGCCTCACCTTGAAGGACTGTACTGGGGATGCTTGAGATGCTTGAGATGCCAGCCATTGAGATGCGAATTTCTTACAGGCGGCCACCACCATGATGAGAAGATATTAATGAGAACATGTAATGAAAAATGTGATGGAAAAATATGTGTGAAATCTGTGTTTTTACATGCTGCAAGACCCATCTAGCTCTGGGTAAACGTCTGCATCCCTATCACTGTGAGATACCCAATGTTGGTACGGAGCCATCAAGGGCGACAGGATCGACAGGTTGGAAGATCATAAGGATACCAGCAACTAGACAAAACCATTCTGGAGAGCTTCTAACCATTTGAGCAGCTGCTAGTTTTCCATGTCGCTTTATGATTTCCGGGATACTATCCAGTATTTCTTGGGGATTATCACTATGAAATATAGGAATCCCGTCCTTAACCAACCAGCATTTCATGAAAGGGCGTGGTTTTGAGCACTCATGTGGAAAAATATGGATTTGTCCATGGGATTCTACCCAGTTTTTCCATGGCGATACTCAACGAATCCACCGGCCATGGCGCCTTCTTGCCCTTCTTGCCCTTGCGGCTGAACAAACTCGAGATCGCCGGCATGGCACCAAAAAACAAACACACTGCGGGGCCCAGGGCTGAAAAAAAGATGAAACAAATCCGCGTTTTCTTCTGGTGTTACTGCTGGATGAAGTTTGCTATTTGAGTTGTGTTTCTAAAAGTGCCAGTGAAAATGAGTTCGAAGACCATGTTTTCACGAGCTGTGTTTACATCTATACATATATCATCATATATTCATATAGCAACTTTGGAACATAAACATCAACAGATTCTGAATCAACATAATTCCCACTTTATCCCCAAGATTCCCAGCGGCAAGCATGGACCGCGGATGAGCCGTTGGTGGTGCAGGAGCCGTTGATCCTTTTATACGGAATGAAGTATAACTGGGAAATCCATCATAGATATATATATATAGTAGTAAATAGTAATAAATAGTATATAATAAATAGTAATAAATAGTAATAATATAGATATGTATGCAATTGGGTAGGCTACACCACTGGATATCATTGGAGGATCTTCCAGCCTCCTTGGATTTGGCGCAGTTTATTGAAATCCGTTGATGGAGGCGAAACATATTTGGGGGTTTAAGAAACTATGGCTTCAATACTTACCCTCTGGTTATGTCAAAATAGCTATTGAAAATGACCATTTATAGTGGATGTTCCCATTGAAAATGGTGATTTTCCATAGTTATGTTAGTTTACCAGAGGGTAACTGGCCGAATTTTGACTGGGGCGGGTACCCCCATGACTTAGAAAACCTCCATTTGTTCACAACATGCAACACCCACCAAACAAACATGCCAGTCCATCGACCCCAGTGTGGACTGCCCAAGACAGACACAAAAATCCGCATCAAATTCATCGTAATTGTCACATCGTTCGATGAATCAGAAACTGATCATAATTATAAATCCCATTAAATCTCATTTAGTCCCTCTAAACTTAACGTGAAACAAAAAAAAATGCCGAAAACCATGGCGGGCTGATCACCCCATCCACATCCGTGCGTCCCTGACTTTGCCATGGACGTCTTTCGCGCGTGCAGCGCTACAGGTTGAGTTTGATGTCAAGAATCAACTTACCCTCTGGTAATTTAACGTAGCTATTGAAAATCACCATTTTTAATGGGAAAATCCACTATTAATGGTGATTTTCAATAGCTACGTTAAATTACCAGAGGGTAGTAGCTCCTTGGCTCCCCATTCAATAGGACACTTGGATACCGCTCTTTAGCTCCCAACCAACAAATAGAAAATCCTATCCCGGAGATCTTTCGCAAGCTACTCAGCTACTATTTTCAAGACGGCCTATTTTGAGGTGGAGGTACCAACCAGCAAGGGCTGTATCTAGAGCTGTTTTACCTGAGGCCTTTCATTTGGAAGTATCCTCCAGTCTTCAGAATCATGCCATGTCGAATTTCGTCCATATTCTGCTTGATCCAGTGATGACAAAAAGCGGCTGCGGGTTTGAGAGTGTATGTGTATATGTGTATATTATATATATATATATGGTATGCATCCATATAGTATTAATAAACTTAAAGTATAAGCCGTTGACCCATCTGCTCAAGATCTCTAAAGAATGTCGGCTGCATTAGGAAGAAATCTGGACTGTAGACTGTAGTACACTCAATAACAAACCTTACCCGGTTCCCCCAATTCTACCATGCGGGAGGGTATTGATGTCTTGTTGATTATTGGGGTTGCAACATTGACGTCAACCCACTATGCATAATCGCAGCAGCTTGTCCTTGGGGTTTGTTCTCACCAAAATGGTGATTGTTCACAATAGTTCCAGGTATAAATATTCTACCAGTACCCTAATCTACAATGTACAATATTACCCTCTGGTAAACTAACGTAGCTATTGAAAAATTGCCATTTATAGTGAATTTTCGCAAAAACAATGGTGATTTTCCATAGCTATGCTAGTTTACCAGAGGGTAGTCGTGGAGGGATATGGTCCCATTTCCATCCATTTCGTATATGCAATTGCTCCACGTCGAGGTCCCGTGGCTGGGAGACTTGCTTGTGGACGTTTCATCCCTTGGCGTGCTAAATGATTCAAACCTGTTGATAGTGAAGAATTGGGACCATTTACCCTCTGGTAAACGTTTACATACCTGTGGAAAATCACCATGTTTAATGGGTAAATCAACTATTTCGACTGGGCCATTTTCAATAGCTATTTTGACATAACCAGAGGGTATAAGGTGTTTAATATTAGGGGGATGGGATAGGATCATGATCTTTTGGAATTGCTGATCAATTGTAGATGTGTCTGATTTTTTTCGGTTTCCAATATGACATCTCCAAGCATCGAATCATCCCATCCCCCTAATTTTTTAACATCCGCATGGTATGGTCCCAATTAAGTGGACATTCCCTACATCCACCCCGGTTTCGTTTGGGGGCGATGGGAATCCCCGACTGGATAGGCCATCTTTAAGGGGTGTCACCAAGACCTTGGCGCCGAGGATCACCCCATAGCCGACATCACCGACAATCCAAGGCTCAAAATGCCCATGCCAATGAAGGATTTCAGGGTCGTCACCTTTGATCATCACAGGATTCAAGTCATTGGGGACAAGTCAAGGCATCCAAGGCATCCCATTCTTGGCATTTCTTGCTTTACGTTTCATGAACTCCAGAACTCCAGAAAGTCTCGTTCAACATATCCGAAAAAAATAAATATGAAAATTATGAAAACACAAAACGGGCAAGCGGCAAGGATCTTCAAAGCCTACGTGCTACATGTTTGTTGCCTATATATATATATACCCTCTGGTTATTTAACAGTTCGCCATGGACAATGGTCCATAGAAATAGATGGTTTACCTATTAAAAATGGTGATTTTCCATGGCTATGTTAGTCATAACCAAAGGGTATATATGGGTATGTCTGAAAATGGGGTATACCCCCAAAAAAATAGCCATTTAGTAGGGATAATGATCAGCAAAACCATTGGGTGTAGGGGTACACTATTTTCAGACAAACCCATATACTAGTACAGCCTAGGATTTTGGATAGCATCCTTGGATGCACCAGCGAACTGGTCAACTGGTTCACTGGGATCCACTCTCATGTCTAACCCTACGCTCGTACGATGGAATTGATCATCATGTGATCAAAATTATAACATTCAAAATCTGGTAAGCTTCCATAATTGTGATATGTTGTTATAACATGTTATAACATTTGGAATTGTGACAAATAATCAGAATTGTTTCACATAACAAACATGGCAATTAGGCCATAATTGTGACCCCCAGGACGTCAGTTGGTTGGCCTCGGTTGATCCATTTCTAGATGGATCGTCCCCAAATCTGGCGGGCAAACTGACTGAGGCTAAATGATGTCCATCTGTGTTGCGGCTTGACCAAACTTCTCGGATAGATCCTTGTCTTGCATAGATAGACTCGTGTTCTGAGTCAACTTACCCTCTGGTTATTGAAAATTGCCATACAAATAGTTGATTTACCTATTCAAAATCCGCCGACCCTGGCCTTCGCCAAGGCCGGGGCGGCGCCTGGGACCACCGGAGGCGTGGATCCTGTCTTTCTTGAACCTTTGCCACGCCGTGGATCCTGTCTTTCTTGCACCTTTGCCACGCCCACACTGCAGGCAAACGCCATCACAAGGCCACAGCAATGGCTCAAGAGCACCCCACGGCCGCAGCAATGGCTTCTTTTATAGGCGTTCAAGGCTGCCTGCTGTTCCAGCGTTGCAGCCTGCCGTTTGCGTGCATAGCGCTCTGTCGTTAGGGCGTCCATGCCTCGGGCACGCCCGCAGGCAAAAGCCACCACAAGGCCATAGCAATGGCTCAAGGCATCCCCCCGGCCGCAGCAATGGCTTCTTATAGGCGTTCAAGGGCCGTTTGACAGGCTTCAAACCCTTAAAACCCTTAAAAATGCTTCGCCGGCCGTTTGCCTGCATAGCGCTCTGTCGTTAGGGCGTCCATGCCTCGGGCACGCCCGCAGGCAAAAGCCACCACAAGGCCACAGCAATGGCTCAAGGCATCCCCCCGGCCGCAGCAATGGCTTGTTATAGGCGTTCAAGGCTGCCGTTTGACAGGCTTCAAACCCTTAAAACCCTTAAAATGCCTCGCCGGCCGTTTGCCTGCATAGCGCTCTGTCGTTAGGGCGTCCATGCCTCGGGCACGCCCGCAGGCAAAAGCCACCACAAGGCCACAGCAATGGCTCAAGGCATCCCCCGCCGCAGCAATGGCTTACCTTAACCCCTTAAATGCCTCTGTGTCGTTGGGCGTCCATGCCTCGGGCACGCCCGCAGGCAAAAGCCACCACAAGGCCACAGCAATGGCTCAAGGCATCCCCCCGGCCGCAGCAATGGCTTGTTATAGGCGTTCAAGGCTGCCGTTTGCCAGCCTTCAAACCCTTAAAACCCCTAAAATGCCTCGCCGGCCGTTTGCCTGCATAGCGCTCTGTCGTTAGGGCGTCCATGCCTCGGGCACGCCCGCAGGCAAAAGCCACCACAAGGCCACAGCAATGGCTCAAGGCATCCCCCGGCCGCAGCAATGGCTTCTTATAGGCGTTCAAGCCTGCCGTTTGCCAGCCTTCAAACCCTTAAAACCCCTAAAATGCCTCGCCGGCCGTTTGCCTGCATAGCGCTCTGTCGTTAGGGCGTCCATGCCTCGGGCACGCCCGCAAGAAAGCCACCACAAGGCCACAGCAATGGCTCAAGGCATCCCCCCGGCCGCAGCAATGGCTTGTTATAGGCGTTCAAGGCTGCCGTTTGACAGGCTTCAAACCCTTAAAACCCTTAAAATGCCTCGCCGGCCGTTTGCCTGCATAGCGCTCTGTCGTTATAGGGCGTCCATGCCTCGGGCACGCCCGCAGGCAAAAGCCACCACAAGGCCACAGCAATGGCTCAAGGCATCCCCCCGGCCGCAGCAATGGCTTCTTATAGGCGTTCAAGGCTGCCGTTTGACAGGCTTCAAACGCTTAAAACCCCTAAAATGCCTTGCCGGCCGTTTGCCTGCATAGCGCTCTGTCGTTAGGGCGTCCATGCCTCGGG